TCTACCTTACATTTCTTACATTTTTTTTTTCAAAAGATTATAAATGTAAAAAATTTACTAATAATCGGGATTTATTGATATGAAAAGTCAGTATTAGATACTGCATTTGAACTTAGATCATCGTACAGTACAGACACAGACCCAAGAGAAAAAAACACTGAACGATACTCTCTGACTCACATTTTCAACATAGTGACTATTATTACAATAAGAGAGAGGTTTTGAGAATATCGAAGATAAGAGTGAAAACAAACATGGGCTGGGTCAAAATACATATATGACTCATTTCAGAGGGGTCACCTTCTCTGGCTACCAAGAAATGAAATAAATATTAAGTCTTAAGTTTGGTCATGGTGTGTTGCACATGTAGACAGACTGATTAATGGCATGTCGGTTTAATGAGTCAATATTAGTTAAACTGTTATCAACTTGATGATGAGTAAGACATAATGTACCTTAGGGCATGCCACTTGCAAATTTATTCACAGTTTTCACACTGAATAAAACTAATATTATTTACCCTGTGTATATTTATCACTGACTAACTGTGAAAGTGATTTGTTCTGTCATATATGAAATATAATTTTAATAGATTATTAAATAGTTATTTCAATTGAAAACTTAAGCCTATGCAACAGTAAATGAAATGTAACAAATAACCGATATTTGGCTGGGTCACAGCATACCAGCAAAATCTTCATTCAACACTTCACCACCTTTCTAAATCTGAACACTGTGTTTGGGGTCACAATCTTCTTTTTTATTTGATTTATATAACAACTTGTTGTGAAACGAAAAAGGAAGTAGGGCTAGAATTCAGACAAATTCATCACAAGTGTCTACATGTTAAATGTATATGTAATGTGTGAGAAAATTTAAATAAAAGCACAAATTCAATGAAATTTTTCAAATAAGAAAAAATGTGTTCATCCATTTTGGAAACAAACACTTTTTTCTAGGTGTCATGTGACTTCACCTGCTGACACTCAAGGTCAATTAATTGTAAGGATTATACCCTTTAAAAGTACTTTATTATATTAACAATGAACATACCTATATTTTTTCAGATATTCTAATTATTATGAAATATTAATATTTTAAATAACAGATTAAACACTAATCCCTAACTCATTTTCTTTTTACTATTTTTAGTTTATTCACAATTTCAAAACATTACTGTTCTGTTCCATGAACAAAATGATAAACTAACATATTGCGAACCGCATTGGCCGAATGTTTTTTTGTAACTTTAGCTCAACTCGAGTAAATGACTGATGACAAGACAGAAAATTGTAGCCACGTAGCATGGTATTTCAGCCACAATAGCATATCTTATCTGGAAGCAAACAGAAATGTTCTTTGGACCGGACAAAATAAATAACATGAATTTTGGATTACTTTCAAGATACCGGTAGTTGTAATCAAAGTAAGACCCTTGTTTTACTCTTGACTGGACCCATCATGTGATTAAGTTAAAAAAAATAGTTTTGCAAATTGACTGATTGTTTTTCCGTAGGAGAACCATTGCTATTAATTATTCATGAAATGCGTTGATTGAGGTGACACTTTAAATACCAGAAACTTAATCAAATCTCTATTCAATCATAAAAGCATTCATTGAAAAAAAAATAAGTACCCAGACACACAGACAAAATACCATTAATGTCCAATTACATGACAGCCCAAAATTGGTATTTAAGTAGGTACATTATAATTAATATACAATCAGCTATGCATGTCTAAACCACCGTCCCTCACAGTGTTGGGGGGACGGTATCTGAACAAAATCTACAGATGGCTGAAAAAATTATTGTTGCTCAAACAAGAATTTATTTCTAGGTATCTACAGATTAAATACAGGCCATGTGTTCATACTCATTTAGTATACCAAGAGTTGTAAATATCATTTATATATATATATATTGCAAAATATTGCAAACAGCAATGGATGGCCTTTTAAAACCCTATAGATAAGAGAATTAATATGCGTGTCACAAGACTATCTGAACTTTGGTCTGCATCAAGATAATCTCATTTATGCATTCTGGTACACAATGAAGTTCACAAAATGCTTGTTTGGGCAGGCCTTACACATATTATAGTCATCTACAGATACCTTGCATACCTATAGCTACCTACGCTGACCTCTGTCTCTATTCAACCACTGCTAGTCCATTCATGTTTTAACTGTTCAATGCCCATGCTTTTCAGCTTCTAACAATACCATTTGTAATTTTACTGTACGAGTTCTATTACTTTCTCGTTGCAATGTAACAAATAGGTAAGAACTTTGTTGTAAACAATACAATTTCCATTGAAGACGCGAGATAATAATTTTTGAGCAAAAAAATAAATAAATAACCATTACCGTATGCTTCTCTTCACGCTTAAAAAAAACATTTCTAATTATACTATGAGCTAGTTTTTTTACTTTATTCAATTGAATTATTAAATTTTAAATCTAGGGTGACAATGCCAGTGCTTTTGGAAAAGCAGTTTCAAATATTTTTGGTTTGTAACTATATAAACTTATAAAAACTGCCAGTGACCAATGAGAACAATTGCTGTGACATCACCACAGATGAAAACACGCCTTTGAAAGAATCGACTGAGTCTGCGTGTATGCAGTGGGAAGTTCAAAAATTACCAGAATCTGAATGACTTTGAGGCATATTGTGGAACACCACACAAATTATTATAGCCAATCCAATTTGTCTCAACTTTATAAACAACTTTTAAAATACGGAAACAACTTTTTTGATGTATTCTAGTAAACGCTAAAATTATTCGGACTATGTACATTTCACTATATAATAAACAGTAGCAGCAATAGAGACAACACATGATTTATAATATGAGACGACAAAAAAAGCGGTTCCCATACTTATTTCCATGGCAACAAAGACTGCCATCTGAATTAGAAAGATATACATGCATAGAAAACTGCTAGCACACACAGTCCTGTGAATGCCTCTATGTCATATAAGTTTTTCAAATAGAATTTATTTTTTAGTTAGGATTAGTACAATCCCATAATGCCTCTCTCTTCACTACACTTTACCATTAGTGGGACTGAGAGAAATTGACATCACATCGCCTGTATATACTCTGTCCAGGCAGCATACCTGAATTGAAATGTTAATATCAATATGAAAATGTGAACTAGGTTTAACTTTTAAATGATGAATAAAATTAACTATTTATTTACTTTTGTAAACTTGTGAATGAAATCCTAATCACTCAAGTACTACAAAAATAAAATTTTATTTGTTCCTTATGGTACCTAAAATATAATTGTGTTTTGTATATGTTTTTATAATCTGCATGTAATTTATATGAACTACTGTAAAATCATTAATTGTCACTAGTATTTAATTTCACTATTTGATCTAATTCATTCAGTTTTAAATTCACAGATTTGCCAATAAAACAATAATAAGTTCAATAAAATTGTTACAACTTCAGATGGATAAATTTAATATTACGTTTTTTAACTAGACAAATTAAAACTCACTGTATAATAAATGAGTTTACAGTATTGCGACTATGTTAACTGTTAATACAACATGAACAAATCTAAATCCGAATAAATTATATACTTTAAAATCGCAGGTGTATTTAACCTGGGGCAGGTTTACCCCAAACACCAAACTAAACAGATAGCGTAACTGTGATCGTCACGCTAAAAAGTCAATTTGTTTCACAATACAATACTCTATAATCCTTCAAGTAGGACAGATTTAAGGTGAACACACAATGAAGTTGTACTGGCTATTGTCACTGTCTACATCACACTAAGTATGCTACGATAGTTTATAAATTTTCACTCATCTCCAATAGTCATGTCTACCATATATTTGAATAATGGCTGTTTTTTTTTTTCATTTTATTATGTGTTTATCTAAGACAAACTAACAACTCATAAAGAAAAGTGGAAGAATTCCAAACCACAATGTGATATTCATTAGAACTCATTATCCTTGTAAAGCAAGCAGTAATTACCGAATTCAAGTGGATTATTTTCCTAGTTTACCTACAATCAAACTGGAGTGAGACTAAAATATATCTTAGTAATGCATGTACTAATAACACGTGTTACAAGTCATCTGCATATACATGGTGGCTTCAGACCACAATGGTTTCTAGCTGGCACAGCTCCAAACGACATTTAAACAGCAATAAGAATAAACCGATATTCTTTTAAACTCGCTGCTATCAAACTAATCATCGGCCATGCGAATGTTAAGATACCAGGATATATAGAAGACCTTCAATTTTTATTTTATGTGTCATTGTTACTTTATTCTTTAATGTTTTTCTGGGACAAAGTGAAAGAAATTCAACCACACCTTCAAGTCATCACAGGTACAACAATGGTTCAATAGACAGTAAACCACAGAAAGCACAACAACCATGTTGGCATTTGTCCAACATTGTTATGCTCTATGCTAAGAGAAATGATTTGAAATATACAAGGAATTTAATGTTAATAAAAGACATTATGCTTTCTTCAAGTTCATCTTTCTGTTTTGGTGATGCTAATGACCATGAACTTACTGCAGCAATAAAAAGTGTTGTTCAGCAATACCACAAAGGTCACTTAGGTGTTTTTAACATTTTGTTATCAAATGTCACGTGATCATTAGAAAATAATTTTTATGATATATGTTTCCTTTTTTAAAAGTACTAGTTTACATGGTCCCATGTGACAAATCTTGTCACTCAGAGGGATTACTCAGTAAATGTGAGTTTTCAAAACTGTAAATATTGCCTATGTTAAAAATATGATTTCTTAAGATGCTCTGCATATTAGGCCAAATAGCCTACCCTAAATTTTTTTGATCAAACATGAATAATGAAATTAACATGAAATTAATTTCATTATCTTTAATTTTAGAATTATGGACAAATTGGGAAAATTTTACTGTAAACATCATTAAACATGTTTGTTTTTTTGTCTTAAGTAACCAGCAAGTTAGCTCAAATTAAATGATGTCCAATGGAAATCAAAATGTGAACTACCCTACATGGTTTTCATAGTGCATGTCATACACTTTTATTTTTGGGGGGTATAAATAAATGCAATTATACCATTTATACTTGCCACGTGGTCGCCATTATAGAACAACCACGTGCTACAGCAGATGACAGTATTATCTGATTTTCAAAACTGCCTTAATAATAGGTATATGCAAAACACCCAGTAATCTTAAGTGTGAACCAGTTACACTGTCAGATCCAATAAATTATCTCAAACATTATGGCAGTGCAGAGTTTTGTCTAGTCATAGACTGTCTCCATGGGGGAGATCAGACAGTTTTTTTTTTTATTGCTGCAGCCACCCCAGCTACCCACTGGCAGTTTAATGTGTGGGATTTATACAAGACAAATTCCTAGCAACTTATTAACTATAGTGCAAGGTTAACTATTAACATGTATTAACATGGTGCGGTTGCATTTACCATGTTCTTACACAACCTAAAAAAACAACCATGCATATAAACATGAAATAATTGTTATAATAAAATGCCTATTTCCAATATTTTATAGGTTACAGTCATTGTACGTGATGTTAGGCAAGTAGTAAAGCAATCAGCAATTGGAATTGAGTCAGTACAGGCCCGCCATGTTGAATCAAGATCCACCCTCTCATTCGAAGCACTATTCGGATCCGCCATCAGCTTTTTAAATTCCAAAATTTATAAATGTCTTTATAAAATAATTGTTCTCATTTCACTACTAACATCTCTGGGGGAATCACTTGCGAATCGCATTCGGTGTTGCTGTGTTAATTTTAGAATGTATCTAACAATATTTCTGTCCAGAATTTTTTAACAGGTCAGACAAAAATAAAGTCAACAGCCAGAAGGTATTAAAAGAGACGGTACCGTCGTTATAAACATCGCAAATGCCACGTTTCCATATTATTTTGGACAAACCTGCTTTAACTAGGAATGTTCTTATATTTTAAACAAAATTCGAGTATATTTGGAGAGTTTTTGCAGAAAAGCGGTAAATTTTTAGTGTCGGCACTGAGGCTGCGACACTGGATACAAATGAGAACGCAATTGTCAGTCTCGAGGGTAAAATTAGCGTCATTCAGTTTTTAGGTCACTCCTTTTTCACTCGGATGATTAGTTGTATTACAAAATGAAGCAATAAACTAACTGTTTGAAAATAACACTACTTCTCAGAAGAGTTTTTAATTCGGGAAGTTTCATTATATTCGAGTGATATCGTCGATAACAGGTTGCACATTTCAAAACATGAATCGAGTCAGGTGTGCAAACGATGTATACGGATGGTTACTCACCGTTTTCATTATATCCTCGTCAACTTCTTGCTCTGGTTCGGCCCAGTCGACGGCAATCTGATGACCCCACAGCTGTATTCTTCCTGGGATGAGTTTTCTTCGTGCCATCGCAGCAGCTCTATGATTTTCATATTCAACGAAGGCGAAACCACGGTTCTTAGTTTTGTCTGTTGCACTTGGATACACGATTACATCGACAACTCCTTCCGTAACTTTTTGCATTTCGTGTAGGATTTCGTCCCTTTTCTTGTTTTTTGGTATGCCTCCAACGAACAAGCGACAATTGTCAACACTAGCACAGACGCCCAAGTATCGTCCCTTGCGAATTTCGTAATTGTTCAGTTGTTTTATAGCCTTTTTGGCGTCTTCCTTGTTCGTATACATGACGAAGGCATATCCCCGATTGTTTCCGCTGAAATCCATCATTAGACGCATTTCATAGATCAGACCTACGGACATGAATACTGGAACCAGTTCGTCCTCAAACAAATCTCGTGGTATCTTGCCCACAAATATTTCACAGCCACGACCCGGGGTAATCCCTTCCCAGTTCGGGGGAGGGCCTCCATATTTTCGCTGTCCATTTTCTTGGATAATGTTGTACCCCGTTCGTTCCATCAAAGACAATAAAGCCGTCTCGTTTCTTGCTCCGGCAATCCCTTCTGGAGGCTGTGTTTTCCCGCTGATGGTCTCCATGTTGCTTGCCTGGCTGTTTGGCACAACTACGCTATCTTCAGCGGTCATCGTGATGGACTTTGAGTTTGAAATAGCATGTATAGCTGGTATGCGTTGGTATACTGTTCTTGCGATATCTCCACTGCGCTATGAACAAACTGTGTCAACCTATAGGGCATGCAAATGAAACAGGCAATCTTATTGGCAGAAAGTTGTCAGATGACCTCGCGCAGAATGCGCAAAAACACGTCTAGTTTTGAACAATTTGCAACACATCCCAAAGTTTCTTAAAGGGCTCTATTATACAAAGTGTGAAACCTGACATACTTTAAAAAAAAATGTCTTGACACGCCGTGTTGGAGCAAGTTTAACGGGTCAATACCCATTGGCCAATCGGATCTATTGTTATATTCACGAGTTTTATTTCTACCCCAACCCTTGAGAACAGATTAACACATTATCAATTGAAAATGTCCACACACATCAGACGATTACTATGTGGTGAGACCAATCTAGAAACAAATATATTTTAAACTGTCGCTAAAATACAAACCTAAAAATAAAATTTGATCATGTTTAAGACTGTTGAAGACTTTTTTTTTTGACTACGTGGTCTGCCGTCGGGTCTGATTAATTACCCGTGCAATTCGGCTGCAACTGTTATCAAATTTTAACATCAGAATGTAGTTTACTTACCTGGAGACGCGTGTCTACGTTGTTAAGGACGAGAGACCTTGCTTCTCGTAGTACCTATCCTAGTTGAACTACGGGACTGGTGAAAGTGCCAACTGAATACCCAAGGTGTTTACTATGATGTATTGTGTTGCTAATGTTTTGCGGCCTTTTTTTCTTTTGAAAGCAAGGGGTCATTATTTAACAATGGTAATCTCAAAGTTCCCGCCTCTATCTGTCGAAACACGTTCATTCATATCGTGCCTAACCCCGTGGTGGCGCGAAATTTTAATGTTTTCTCTTTTAATTCTAATAACGGGCACTCGGTTTTTAAACTGTCCACCAATGAAACATATACTATATAAATGTTGGCACGTGTTGTTAGATAGTGAGTTCAATGACGTTCCGTATATTACAATATCCTCGTTCGCCAAAGCAATGCCACTATTATTAAGCTTATCACAAATTTAAAAAGAAAATCGTCGCATGAAATTCAAAGTAAATGACCCATACCATTTGAAAGTATTAAGATGAACGGTATACAGATACATACCGAATAATACCCGCAACATGTTGAACACACGCCGTTCTTAGCGAAAATAATTCTCAACAGTTCCACGCAAATGTATGACAATGTCCGGTCACCATGTCGGATCATTGAGCCATATACAATGACAGTCTCGTGAATTAATTTAATTGTTTTGAAATATCTAGTTATACACAAGCCACCAATGTTTGTTTAAAGCCACGCTGTATACTGGATTGCCGGTGTGCTGTAGCTTTAGTGCTGTGTTGGTTCAAGGAACTCATTCGCCAATGTGCTGATACGATCCTTGACATTGTTGATAAAACATAACAGCTCACGGTAACAGCTATTGTAAATCCCGTACTCACCTGTAATAGACTGTCTGGGTTGTATGCGTACAGTGGTTACGTAGCGTCCGAGTTACTAGTACGACACGATGCAATGTCACAACTTAACACTTTCCCGGGATGACTGACCTCACCCACGCTTTGCACAAATACGTACTGGTAGTCTCAGCGACCTCCCCGGGTCATACTTACTGCCGACACTTTTTAGTAGCGCCTTTCTCGTAAAAATATTTTAACAAGTGTGTAATAAATGTATAACCGCGGACGATTATGGACGATAATGTGTGAGGCAATATTTTTTCATTTTTTTTTCATTTCATTATGAGTTGCTTTTAAAATATCGCCCGCTGTTGTGTACAAACAAGTGAAGAGATCCGAGCACGTCGGGGGCATGCATGGCTGATACGCGAATGAATTGAAGCAACATGCACGAACAGGCCCACTTACTATTGTGCGCTGGTTATGCTGATGAATTAGACAAACACCCTTTGACATATGCAATTCAACGCCATACAAGCAGTCAATAGGCTCGTCGGTTCTATTTCGATTCATTCTTTTGCCGATAAAAAAGTGAGACTGGAGTAAGAAACAATAGATAGACAAACAACAACGCGAAATACCAATAGGCGCATATGAACGAGTAGGTAGTTTGTGCGTTGCTAGGGGTGGGACTTAAAAAAGTTGTTTGATGGTAGTTGGACAACTAATGTACGAGTGATGTGTCCCAGAATGGAGTCATTCTAACTGTAAAATGCTGCTATGGAAACGTATAAACAACGCATATTGACGGTCCTGTGGTTTACATTACAAAACACCGCTGGCATGATTACGCTGTGAATAAACTTTTCCACGTGTGATGAGTGTACCTCTCATGTGAACTCTCTATCTCTCTAATGTAAAATACACTGTACAATAATTGTACGCACACGGTTCTGATGCTATTATAAAGACTAAATAAAAATTAAAAAACAATATTTCAGAATTAAAGTTGAACTCGGAGTTGAGAAAGAGTTTTGACATCTTCTACTGTAAGACATTGATAAATAGAGATACAACACTTTAGTTTAGACTGTAAATACTAAACACACTGACTAAGCTGACGTGCACAAACACGACCGTGAATACAAAACGCACCCCACTGCGCTGCACTATGGAAAACTGACTCGAAGGCCATCGATGATTAGCTACAATTCTAGTGTAATCTTGTAAGTTAATAATGTCTGGACGATTACACTTCAAGTGACAGTCTGATTCGATACACGCATGTTTTTTTTTTCAATTATTGGATTCAAACTAGATCGACACGAGTAATCCCTCGTTTGTTTATTCCTCTTTACCTAGTTCCACGATAAAGTATTTAAATTACAAGGCTTACATGGATGGAGTACTACACGTATGCCCGCTAGATACTTTTGTAACCATGTTCGCCCATCTTGACATCGTCAATTGCACTGGACAACTTGAGCCATCATACGTGTAATACGAATTTTACAAATGTGAACTTTCTTGAGACATGAATAATTTTAAGATTAACATTTTACTTCTTTAAAAAAAATATTTTCGGTTTACTTGCACACACGATAAATTACCTTAATCACATGTACATGTAATGTGGCGAGAATGTTGACGTCATGATCCAGTGTATGGACTCGGACTTCTCATTGGTGGATGTATTGATACAGCAGATATTCGTATACATTATATAATAAACAAACAATGTATAAACAAACAAGCAATCACAATATAGAAAAGCAATTATTTGAATAAAATGTGATCCTGAATTTATTCTCGCTATTTGACTATGGTGATCAAAACTTATAACAATTAGGAGTGCGATGAAGTGGGCATGAAAGTGATAGCCTCAAAAGATACAAACTTAGAAATGAACATAACTTCTTTCGAGGGGCAGAAAAAAAAAACGTTGTAATAAAACAAATATTATTTACATGCCGTCCGCAACACTCTGAAACGGGGTTATAAATCTCAAGACACAGTTTTTGAATTACCTGGAATCGAATTGTATAGAGATGGGACATGTCAGAACCGGTACACCTCTACAAGGACACAGTGATCGAGGTTGCTCAGTTAAAACGTGCCAAAGCCATGCAATAATATAACAGAAATTTACTATAATCAGAGTAGGACACCGAACATGGTGAACGTACTATCGAATTAAACAAACAAATACTCATGGTCGAGACTTTTACTAAGGCCAATCGGTTGACCTCCAATGACCGGTTTTAGCGAGGATCATGAAGTGTTTTTTCTCACTGAGCCGAGCTTTCTTGTATAGATGTGCAGACGCGACGTTTCATTGTTAGTCATCATATTGACAAACTCTTAAACTTTACACCAAATATAGACTGTAGTGATTTCATTGAATGATCACAACGTATTATTAACGTCAAATCTAGACCTGGTTTTACTAAGGTGTCACAGTGGGTTTTGCTCGTAGTAGGAAGCAGACAATATCGAAAAACAAAACACGACGTGTAAATAAAAACTGAATGATGTATATATGGACGACGACTCGGAGCTGTTTGCAAAAACTTTAAATATAGACTTTATCATTAATTATGATACAAACTGGGTTATCAGTCGCCAGACCTTGATCTGTCCTTTAACCTTTAAGCAAGAAATTGACAAGATTGGCTAACGTTGATGTCAATGACAGTCAATCTACTTGAACTTGTTTGAACACGATTTGCTGGATTGTAATATTCGTAATTGAGGCCACGAACGTGATGTGGGACATTAAACTGAAAATAGATCCATGCGCCATGTCGGTCAATTAATATGTAAACATTACTAGAATGAGTAAGACGTCGTTAGGCGACTATCTAGTGCTGTGTTGAATTAGCTGCGTTCCGTTCATGGATAAAGTGAAAATAACAGTAATCAAATCTATCAGAATTGTTTAATATGTTAATGAACCACATGTTAACTGTTATAAATTACCAAGACCACTAATGTCGATCTGTTTTTTAAGACACTCACTAATATATCGCATACTATTAAATGATGCCATAGATTGTACTTTAAAACACACACACACAATATCATAACTTATTTTCTGTGTATCAATTTATATTACAGTTTTCAAATATTTGTTCGAAGGATTGTCTGCGAACTTCAAGGAAGCCATACTACCTGTTGGATTTCCACGAAGACAAGGGTATTCTCAAACATGTCGCTAGAGGGCGCATACGTATGTACTAGTTTGTAAGAAATGTGTGTACCATAAATGGGGGGGGGGGGTGGCGTTGAGAATAGGGTTTCACACTTATCTCAACCCTAACGAGCGTAAAGTTCAAGGCGCGTAAAACAAGGGACTGTCAATCAAAGGAACAGGAAACAAATAAATGATATAAAGAAACTGCTTATATTACTCGTCACTGGAAAAGTTTACTAATGTTGTGCGTGTTATGTGCTCGCTCGAAGTTGGTTCATAACGCGCATGGTCACCAGCACATCCACATTCAATTTTGTAACAACAATGTTGGTCTGAAATATGCAGTAATCTAACATTTACCAATCAAGTCCAGGTGCGATGAATAGTTTAAGAAATATTTTGGTCATTATAAAAATGCCCAGGCACGGACAGAAATGGCGGATTCGATGAAATAATAGGACAACAGTATCATGTGACATTGAATCCCGCGCCGAGCAGTGTATCATGTAACTTATACATGACACTAAATAAGTAAACTACTGCATCCCAATAGGTCAAAAGCCACTAATTTCACGTCGTACAAAAGATATACGAAATATCACATATAATAAAAAAAAATGCACGTTTGTCAACCGCACTTCGGTAACAGTGTAATATGGATGGTGTCATTGTATTTCAATTCAGAGGTCTCTACAGTGAAGTGTACAACACCGAGGCATTGCTGCTAAATGTATTTATAACAATTTATGATTTCCAATCATCAGCTTTTCCCCAATTCAAATATTTAATAGGTAAACATTATTAAGAGGTTAACATATCTACACCCATGGTGTACAATCCGTGACACCTGACGGCCTTTCATTTTCCCTTGTGTGTATCAAATAAACAAGATGGAATTATGGCAAAACGTCATGTTTTATCTTTGAAATTTACACTTAGACTATGAAAAATATCCATATTTAATGCTTCAAGTAATAAAGCCACAGCGGTTTTATTCCATTTTAAATTACCCCTACATCTGCCCTACATAGTGTGGCTATTCATTATTTTATTCTCATTATCACAGTTAAACTTTCAAAATACGAGCTTAATGTATTAAATTGGACCGAGCG